TAACGGAGCGCCTGAACAGAACTCTGACTGATATGCTTTCAATGTATGTCGACGTCGAACATAAACTGTGGGATGAAATATTGCCCTACATCACGTTCGCATATAATACAGCCGTTCAAAAAACAATGCGAGTGACACCATTTGAACTTGTATTCGGCCGAACAGTCACCACTCCACTGGATGCCAATGTACCACTGAATGATAAAAGCAGCAATCCACCCGACCTAGATGACTTCTTGCGAAGAGCCGAGGAAGCACGACATATGGCGAGATACAGAATACGCCGCCAACAGCGCATCGATTCCTACTGGTACAATCAACATCGTACCGAAGCGCATTATAAGCCCGGTGACAAAGTATGGATATGGATCTCAGTGCGTCGCAGTAGACTTTCTGAAAAACTTCTTAGCCGATACTTCGGGCCTTTACGAAGTACTTCATCGTGTAAGCGATGTAGCGTACCAAGTGGAATCCGCTGTACACGGGAGCTCAAAACGCCGCAACCCTACAGAGGTCGTACATGTAGTTTGGGTGAAGCCTTATTATGAAAGATCATCGAAAAACCAGTGACGCCTACCAGGAATCTATTCATTGCCTGACGCATGCCGACGATGCCTATGAGGAGGGGGATTATGCCGCGACATCTTGCCTGCATTCAAACAACACGCCCATCACCGCGCGCACAGAGGCACACATGCGCGCGGTCTTGTGTTGCGCAGAGACGATAATAGTACGAGCACTCAGCTGGACCTGGCTGATGTGCGCCACGTGCACGGGACTTCTGATGAAAAAGGAAGAAGAAGACAGCTGAAGGATATCTTTGATGTGCTACTGATGCGTAGTTCTACGACCATAGTCACTTTGAGCTGTGGGCACAGGTTCACTCTTTTAATAAATACGTTTCATTATACCCCCGGGTCCTTCAACATCGCTACAATATTTTAAAGTGGTGGACTGTGCTTTTCGTTCCCTCAAGCAAGTCCTCTCGCCCGTTCTCGCTGGAGCTCCGCTCGGGTCGTCGCATACAACCCCCTGCCATGGCGGCCTAAGAAAACCCTGGCCCATCCAACGTCGCCGTCTTACTGCAGCCACCGCCACCCGCTCCGCCCAACAACACTCGCCTGCGTGATCCACCTGTATTTTCCGGTCTCTGAGGCGATGATGTCGAAGACTGGATCAAGAACTACGACCTCGTCAGCGATTTGAACAGGTGGGACAATCCACACAAGTTGCGCAGCATCCCATTTTACTTGTCCGATGTTGCGAAAACTTGGTTCTGGAACCACCACCCGGATCTTCCCGACTGGGAAACTTTCGAGCAGCAAATTCGTCAGGTATTTGGTGCCCCTGCAGTTCGCACTGAGGCAGCAAAGAAGAAACTCGCTCAACGCACGCAGCTGCCGGGTGAATCTTACACCTCTTATATTGAGGATATCCTTGCACTGTGCAAGCGCGTTAACACAGGCATGTCTCAAAACGACCAAATACGCCACATTATTAAAGGCATTAACACCGTCGCCTTTAACGCCCTCGCCACGCAAAATCCTGCCACCACCCAGGACGTGATAACCATCTGTCAGCGACTTGACGAGCTTCAGTCTCTTCGCCTTTGCTACGATGCCACCGACGTTCGTTTGCCTGCACCCCTCGACTTGCGTGCGCTTATTCGCGACATCGTTCGTGAAGAGCTGCACGGGCGCTGCTCTTCCTGTGCTGCAGAAGTTACTTTACCTCCTGAAAAAGATCGCTTGTGAGAAACCAGTTTATTCGGCCAGGCTCGAGCTCAATCACGCTGGTGATGATATTCTTAGATGAAGAAGATGTACAGGTGATGATAATTACAAAGAGAATAAAGAGTCATTCGCTTGTCGCGCTCACAATACTTATAAATTTTCTGCCAAGCTATGTCCACTGCTGATATTTTGTAGCTTATATCTGCATGTTCACAAGAATTTTGTGTCTGTACTCCTTGTTTTTCAGCACTTGCAAATCACTGCAGTAGTTCATACTGGTGCCTCAGTTATGTTTGTGTCACTTAGGCAAGTTCCAACCACTCATCTTTCAGGGCGAGATTAGTAGTTGAGTCACACTAGCTCATGGGCTTTGTTCAGTGAACGCTAGGAGCTAGAGTGTGTTCACTTAGTGCAAGAAACTGAAACTTCTTCAAATCTGTCAGATCATTGCTGAGCTTGGCGGGCCTAAGGAAAAGAATACCGGGGAGGAAACCAGGCTTGTCAGCAATGGCACCAAGACCGTTCCCAGCAATAAAGCCAATAAAAGTGCCAAGCACAATGCCAAGTGTATCACAGTGCCAGCAGCAGGAACAGCTGCCAGCACCGGTGGGGCAATGCTCAGTCTCAGCCTAGCAGGAACTAGTCGATGCCTGAATTAACAGGGCAGGTTCATGATGTCGGGGCGTGGCTCGCCATTCGATCTACCAATGTCTTTGATGCTCACCGCAATGTCATGTCACCTGAGCCCTTCACTAGAGACCCGCGCACCAGTCACGCGTACCAACCATGCACACAACCTCACTCTTTCCACCCCGCGCATCGGTCACAATTAAGTGCCACACATTTAAGTAATCTTCTTACTATAACTTATTAACAGAGAAGGATGACAGGATGGCTGTAGCACTCTTTGAATTGGCCATTGCAGCTGACTTACAATCACAAACACATCATAGCCCACTGTGGCCTGCATCTTTTTTGCAGCTCTCATGCAGCGCTTGCCCCACACCAGAAAAAGATCACTTGCATTTACATATATTGATTTGCACTTACAAAAGGCAGTGGCCCACCAGAAGAACCATCATTACCAGCTGTTGTGATTATTTGCAGGCTAAAATAGTTGACTTGTACTGAAAGTACATATAATTGTTTTTAACTGTATTTTGGCTTAATATTTTTGGACCGCAAGAACTTGCTACTGATTAATTATAAAGAAGGAATAAGAATCAAGTCACCATTGTTATTATTAATATTTACTTGATTTTATTGCAATTTGCCAAGCAGGAGAAAACAGAAGGTAGCCGTTTAATGTGTATCTTTATCTCATTGAATTTCCTGCTGCTTTATCTAGTCCAAGGGTTGGCAACTTGCTGCCCGCATAGGAATATTATACGGCCCCTGGCATGGTGTCAAACTGCCCTTCCTCCTTTCCCTTGCCACTTCGTATCCGAAGGCTGACATGACAGTTGTGACCTAAAAATGTGGGTTTCGCTTTCGGCCTATGTTTTATTTCAACTTTGTGACATGCGTACTGGACATGAACATGATTTCTAATACAGTTTTACAAATCAGGCCAATTTGGCAAACTTTTATGTTTTGCCTGCAAATGATGCTCTCCCTCCTGCAAATACTCTTCCCCCCCTCCCCCGCTCTCAATTTGCCACAATGCCTTCGGCTGTGTCGGCTTTGTGCAGCCTGGCCCTCCGTCTCGAAAGGTTGCTCACCCTTGATCAAGTCGATCATGCGCTGCAAGCAAGCTGTGAAGTGTTCCCACCTAAATTATAATTCTATGCCATAACAGGAACATACAGAATGATTTTGCACAGCATAGGACATGCTTTGCTTATTTCAAACATGATAGAAATTTGTGAGCAGCTTTTTTAGTGTTCACTTTCCAGCTTGCTTGTGAGCTTAAAAACAGGTACCTCTAACGATGCCCTGTGTTCATTAATTTTTCATCTCTTCAAGTGCCTCCCATGTAACCTTGCATTGGTTAAAAGGCCAATGAACAGGCTTCGACTTTTTTTTTTTACACCCATCAAACAAGCTCGCAAATTCTTACAGTAGATAACGGTAATTACATATGCTGAATATTATAGCACTGCGCACTGCTTAGGCACTTCATTTTGAAAAACGATTCTTGTGCCTATTTCCTTCGCCTGACCCAACTCCCTCATATGCGCAGTGACGCAAGCTCGCCCGCGGGCAACTTAACATACCACTAAGCTCGTCGATTGGTCCTTCGCCCTACGAAATGGTGCCTCGGCCCTGCAGTGGTGCAGCTTTGGCCGCGCAGTCCACTTTTTTTTTTCCTGTGCTGGCCTCTGCTGTTTTGTAGAGCCCGAGACTACTGGAAAAAGCAGTATTGCCAAAATGAAAACTTCTGAGATGAAGAGGCATCTCGCTATTTTACCGCAAGGGGCAGGGTGCTCCTTGAACTGCACCTCATCTCCACGCTACTATGACACGTGCTCATGTTGGAGATGCCCATCGTGTCGATGACGTATCGCTGATGTCCTATCACGTTGGCGAAGTGGGCAGAGTCACGATGATGGCCTACGCCTTATCCCTCCCTATGACAGAAAAGGGTGGGGTGGCCGCGTGAAAAGTTGAAACCTGCTAAAACGAATATTCTCAGCCCAGTAACTTCCTTATGATAGCACGTATTCATAAAAATCTTGTGGCAGCATGTTCACATAGTGAAAATACACATATTTCTCTTCATAATAATGTTTAGACTTTTGGAGTTATTTACTGGTCCTTTGAGTTTAATGGTCTACAGAGAGAGGGGGAGAAACAACTTAATGGACTGCATAGCAAGGTCAGTATATTCAATTTGCCAGTGGTTCAAAGGGTGGTGGCCAAAAGCTTGCCACGGCCATTTTGGCCCAGTTAGCGACTTCCACGCCTCGAGGGAGGAAGCTGGCAGTATTGTTCTTGGTGGAGGGTTCCCCTAGCATTCCCAAAGAATGTGACTTTGGGTAGCTTTCACGTAACTTCAATGTCGGCAGTTTGGTGGAATCTCTTCTGCATAAATTTTAGACAGCCGATGAGGGCTGGGAAAAGAATTTGTTTGGATTTGCCTCCAGATCGTGGCCTGTTCCCTTGATATATCTGCACGTGGGGCTGCATATGTCTTGCGGTTCTCTTGGTAATACGCTGTAATTTTGTTATACGTGGTAATCCCTTCCTGCGGGAACTCTTGGGTGGAGGGGTCCACGTCCCGGCTGATTAAACCTCGGGCTTAACTAACTTATATTTATCCTACAGGGCCCATTCAAGTGCAGTGTGTGCAGCACGGAGTTTGTAAAGTGGAGCCAGCTACAGCGGCATGAGCGAGCACATGCTGAAGACAAGCCTTTCAAGTGTTCACGGTGTGAAGCATCCTTCAACCATGAGTTGAACCTTCGGCTGCACATAGCCACACATCCAGGTTCAGGACAGCCATCCTGCCCAGAGTGTGGCAAATTGTTTGCACGTCTAGCCAGCCTCAAAGCACACCTGATGCTGCACCAGAAGGAGGAGAATCTGATATGTGCTGAGTGTGGTGACGAGTTCAGTACACAGGCAAGTGCAAGTGGACAGGTTTCATATTTCTTGTAGGACTTTTTGTTGGGACAACATGTTTAGTTCTTGTTTTCTTGGTGAGTACATATGTAATTTGGTTACGTCATGTTCTGCGAAGCAGATAGTTTAAAGTACTGATTGTGATAGGGTAGTCAGCAATGTGAATACATTAAGGTATGTATAGACTGGGTCAAGTATTTGTCGCAACCATATGGGAGCACCCTCTCAGGGGCATCCTTTTCCTTGCATGCCCTCACCTTCAGATGGTAAAGGTGAGAATTGGCCTAGAACGATCGATGATAGTGGAGTGAGGGAAGGCAGGTTTTGTGAGATTAGGGCAAAGGAGGTAACTTACAATGAGAGGCTGAATGAAGATGATGTAACGAACTTTGCTGAAGTGCAGAGAAGTCGCTTAGATTGTATGTGGGAGGGGCTTGAGGTCTGAAAAGTTCTGAAGGGCACTGACAGGAAACACCTCAAGGTTGGAAGTACTTCAAGAGTGCCACATAATTTACAATCACCCTTTGGATTTATATTGGCAAGGTGCCCTTTATAGCAACTCTGCTACTATTCAAGCACAAAGGGCTAAGAATTCGCTTAAATTCTGGAGGTGAACTTCGTGTGTTTGTAGTTGTGATTTCACAATATGAATTAATACACATTACATTGTATACATGTGAACCTACCTTACACAGCAAAAAGGAAAGTTCATAACAAAGAAAAAAAAACGTGGCTGATACCCCTACATGAGCAATGGTATAACACGAAAGTGAAACGTGTCTTTACAGAGGTAGTTGAGCATTTGTTGTGCATTGTTTCAGCAACAGCAATAAACTGTTTAGTCATGTCAAGAATAGCAAGCAGCTCGAAACTTGCAGCGCACACCTCTAGCAGAAAGCATGCAAGAAATTAGAATACACAGGGCAAGTGCGGACTAACAACTGTCACAGCTCGACACACAAAGTGCACTGTTCAAACAGGAAGACGAACGACAGAACAGGCCAACTCGGTCGCTATCCCACAATTCAAGCCGCGATCCAGAGTCAGGATCAGCAGATCTGACGAACGAAACGAGTGCACAAGTATACACTAGACAAGCGCGAACAACTGTCACTACTCGTCCTGCTTCGTGTGTCAGCAGCGTGCGAAGTGACCTTCGTCCTTCTCCAAATCACGAGTCTGATGAGCACGCGCGCAGGAGAGACCACGCTTCGTGGAGGCAGTGCTTTGTGGACGCGATGACCTTTAAAGCGCGCCCAGCGCGAGAATGTCTTGCTACCTCGCCACTGATAACGAAAATGTGCTAAAGTTTCAAAGCTCTGAAAACTGCCAAACGGTGTATGGTGTATATAAATGGCTTATAAATGGCTTGCCATTGGCATTCCAGCTACATATGCTCCATGGCGTAGCAGTTGGCACCGCGTGCTGAGAATCGAGAGGTTGCTGGTTCGATTCCGCACGACAAATGCTTACCTTCTGGTTTTATTTTTGAAATCTTATAGTACATATTTTTCAACATCACTTCCATGATGGAAATACGCCAGCCTATGGTGGACCCCGGCAAAAAGATATTTGTCTAATTTGTACAATTTTAGTGTACTATACATTATTACAACTGCCTTTGAAATATTATGAATTTTTTCGCTTCTAGTAAAACTTTAAAATATAAAAAATATTATACAACCGTAGACCTTCCCACCATCAAACCACCCTTTAAATACCAAGTTCTTGTCCATTTCCCTGTATTGGGATAACCCACTTGCTTGAAAAAACAGGAAGGCAAAATTCAGGTGATCTTCATTGTTAGAAATGTGTACTACTATGATAGGCTGGTAGCAAATGAAATGTGGTAGCAAATGAACTGTGGTAGCCTTAGGAATCACTAACCAAATCACTGTCGCTTCTTGCTCCGCTTAAAGAGAGACCAAAACTTCGTTTCAAGATTTACAGGCATTGAAAGTATTTTGTCGAGCTCATGAATTAGGGATCAAAATGAAATATGATGACCTTAATATGGCTGTTGCTTGAGTACAGTCTACTACTAAAACTGAATCGTTTGTGCTTTGTCTGATGCATGCCAATGTTGATTGAGGGATGTTATTACGATGAGTTTAACCTTTATGACTGACTTGGTGTGTCAATTCTCCTGCATAACTACGACCAAGTAGCTGATTAATATAACACGTAGATAATTTGTACCCTATCATGATTTCCATCATCTGCTCTGTTTCCAAGCCATAGTAACTTGGGTAAGGCTTTCTGTATCGAAATATTGTTGCTAGCAATCAATGAAGGACATGTCATCAGTCAAGTGTAGAATAAATTCACGCTGCGTATGTTTAATCATTTATATTGAAAAATTCTGAGCAAGCGTGCTCCCCTACGGTGAAAGATCGTACAGTAAAAGCTCGTTAATTCAAACTCTGTTACTTCAAACTAACGGCTTGGTTCCAGCATAACGCTGTGTATTTTTTCTATGGGGGAAAACTCTCGATAAGTTAAACGCATTGGTATTCTCTATGGTTAGTTCGAATTAGGAGCTTCTGGTTTTCATCGCTCCATGCAGAAGTCGGCCAAGAGTGGATTGCAGTGTGTTGCAAAACCAAACCAAACCAAATTTACTATAGATGCGAAAGAACAAACTAACAACATTTCTCAGCAATTTAAATTTAAGACCTTGTGCTCGAGCTCTTGGGCAAGCTGCAAGTGATGCTGAGGGAATCTCGACAGGGGAAATGGAAGAAAATACAAATGACTGATTTTTTTAGTTTTGATTGCAATAACTCTGTAATGTAAATTAACATGTTTTGAAAAATAGAGTGCTATATTTTAACATTGAGGCTCACTGCTCACGTGAATGCATATTGAGGCTTCTTTCTGCCATATTGTGAACTGGTCAATTTGTTCTGTTCATTTTTAGTGCTCCATAACCTTAATTCAAGAAATAATCTGCCATAAACTTGTATTAGCACCTAATCACTGCTACTGCACCGCAATACTGATAAAATTTCATCACATGATAGCGACCATGTGCCTATTCCTGATTATGAGTGTCCTTCAAGCTTCAGTACATATTTTTCATCTATTTCTTGTGAAGAAAATTTCTCCACCATACTTGAGGTTCCTGACTTTGCGTATCAGTACACGGCGCCCATTGAAATTTTCATCAACGGCATTGTTACATTTGTGAATAATCCTAAGTTATCTAATTCTTGTGGCACTTATGGAACCAACTCCAAGGTATTAAAGAACACCGTTACTACTTCGAGCAAAATACTATATCACATCTTCAGGTTATCATTAATTTCAGGAAAGCTTCCGTCTGATTGGGAGACTGTAAAAATAGTCCTCATAATCAAAATTGGCAAGAAACATTGGCCAGATGACTATAGACTGATCTCACTAACCTGCATTTGTTGTAAAATGCTTGAGAATATCATGGCATCGCACATATACAATTGTCTAGAATCAAATAACTTTTTTCACCAATCAACATTGGTTCAGGAGAGGTTTTTATCTGAGACACAGCTGTAAGAATTTGCAACAGACTTGTCTTTTGACATGGGCAGTAATTTGCAGATTGATAGTATTGTTCTTGATTTTTTGAAAGCATCCCACCGGGTAGCCCATTTCCGCTTGATTTCAAAATTAACTGCTCTTAAATTGGATTTACTGTCTCTAACATAGCTTTGAAATTTTCTCTCAAATAGCTAGCTGTTTCCAGTATTCAACAATCTCCTGTCTGAACTCTACTATGTTACCTCCGGCGTACCGCAAGGTTGGGTTTTTGGGCTGCTACCATTGCTAATATATATCAATGACCTTCCTAATAACCTAGCTTCTCGTGTGCGACTGTTCGCAGATGATTGCATTCTATTCCGCCCTATATCCAGCCTCGATGACCATCACGTGATACAGAACTATCTTCAGATTATTTTCGATTGGTGTAACACCTGGTTAATGACTCCCAATTCATGCAAATCCCGGCTGCGGCGACTGCATTTCCGATGGAGGCAGAAATGTTCTCGGCCCGTGTGCTCAGATTTGAGTGCACGTTAAAGAACCCCAGGTGGTCGAAATTTCCGGAGCCCTCCACTACGGCGTCTCTCATAATCATATGGTGGCTTTGGGACGTTAAACACCACAAATCGATCAAATCAATCAATTTATGCAAGGTAATCATTTTTACCCAAAAACGCCCAGTTTCCAAGTTTTTTTATATTATACCCAATTTCTCCTGCCACTAGGCTCAAGTACTTACGTCGAACCTTTCCTGGAACCTTCACATCACAACCATATGTGCTAACGCTTCAAAGTGACTGGGCTACTTACATCGAACCCTGTGAAATTCTCCCTTCAACATCCACAAGCTAGCTTTTCAGATGCTTGTTCGCCCGCAGCGTGAATATGCTTCTACAATATGGTCATGCACCCCATGGTAAAAACTTATCGATGCACTCAAACCTCGATACAACGAATAAGGATATAATGAAATATCGGTTGTAACGGAATAATTGAAAAATAGTCTCGTAGTACATTTAGTCTTAAGAATACACCTTCATCACAAATTTTTGGAAATAACAAACTAATTTTCATGTAAAACTCAAGTTTGTTATAATGAGGTATGAGTGTATTTCACTTCCACCCCTCACAGCTAGCCGTTATTTTGCACTCATATCACTGTTTCACAAGTGCGCTTATGCTGGTTAACAATCTCCTTTGCGGCTTGATGTTTCACCTCGCAAATCTCGCAGATTACATAATTACTTCAGTTTCACTCGCATTCACGGAAGCACTTATGCATTCAATTTGTCGGCGCTTGGTTGTGGAATGCATTTCCGGATTTCATTGTGTCTTAAAAAAAATCCTGATAATTTCGTCGACTCATCATTTCACATTACTCTGGATAAACTCGTCAAAATGTACTTTTTCTCCTTTTTGTTTTTCTCGTTATGTACGTTTTATTAGTTCTCATTTAGGAATTTATTATTTCTTTACGG